GTATAGCTTCTTTTTCAATTTTTCAGTTTGCATGAAACACGCCATTCTGCATTCAAGACTATTGACTTGACAATCAGGGGACATATTATGAAATTCGACGAATTGACCAAATTTCGTCCAACTGACGCATTCGGCCAATTGGCGTATTCGGCCAATTGACTTTCGACGAATTGACTTCGACGAATTGACTTTCGACGAATAGACTTTCGGTCAACTAACATCAACCCCCTGTATGGTAAAAGGCCTTAACTTTAGAAATCCGTGCTGGGGGTAGATTACCCATAGAAGGCTGAAAAGGTTGAGGATTATTTCGCCAACACGGAATACATTTTGACAAAATTGTCCGAATCACTCTTCTCGGGAAAAGAATCCAAAATTGTTGGACAAGTAAAAACTGGACCGCACGGGGCCCAGCATGGAAATATTTTTTGTGGTAACAGGAAACTAATAAGTCGGTCAATTTCGACTTCCAAGGTAGAAGCATGGGATGCTTGACATCATACGACAAGGATGCATATTTCAAACGTCCTCCCACTCTCAAAATATTGTTGTCGTCGACAAATGCGTTCAACTTGCGGAGAGGCTTAGAGACGATTCCTTCATTCAATTCAAATTCGAAATTCAAAAATTGAGTGTGTTAAACTGACATAATTGATGATTGATGCATCTTCTTTGAGGTCAATACACTTGGCCGTTTTTTCAAAGGATTTTTGATACGTTCACAAAATCTCAATACATAAGCTAAGGTTCTTTGAAAAAAAAAAAAGGAGGAAATTTGTCTAATAGTGTATCTAACACGTTAGCAGTAGTTGATAAAATATTCAAGACTATTGTACGCTCTTCTTCCAAAGTGGTACAGTCTAACGTGATAGTTGAAGTTAGCCACGGATTGCTTACATCACGTAGCAAGTCTGAGCCAATGAACCACTGTTTATTAGATATAAGCTTCGAAGGGAATAAACCTCTGGATGCAACATCAGCGGGGTTCGATTCGGATTCTACGTAGAACGCATATGGTGGCACTGTTTCTTGTACCACAGTTATCTGGTTGGCTACGAACGTTGAAAACCGATATGCACTAGGAAGAGCCCATGCTAATACAGTTTTCGAATCCGATCAAGCATAGATTTTTTAGAATTTCAGTGAACCGCGGTAGACTTTCAAAACATACGAAATTAATTTACGAACGAGCATTACTAATGCGTTTCAAAAAAGCCACCTTTGATTTGCCACGAACAAAATGAATAGAAATATCTTTTCCGAATGAAATGGCTCGAATATACACGACAGCTGCGTAACCTTTTTCTGACGCGTCTCCAAATCCATGAATCTCTAATGATGAATATTCTGTCAGAATAATGTGACGGGAAATATGGAAAGTTTTCAACAAATGCAATTCCGAAAGATATTGAGTCCATACTCCTAGGATATCTGGCGTGAGAGCTTTATCCCAATCGATTCCTGAAATTCACAAGCGTTGAATCAAATGTTTTGTCAAAAACGTTATAGGGGTCAGAAAGCCGAGGGGGTCGAACACCCTAGAAAGTTCAGATAACAAATTGCGTTTGGTACAAGGTCGATCCATTGACTGTACCGACAATGTGAATCAGTCCGTACCAGGTTTCCATTGGAGACCCAAAATTTTCAGTGATGAACTATTCTCTGAATTGTCTCCAGTAAGGGTATTGACGCTCTAATATTGTTCCGGTGAATCGGAGTGAAACGCAGGTTCATTACTACTCCATTTACGGAGCTGGAAACCACCCTTCTCGAACAGCGATATAAGTTCATGTTTAAGACGGTGGGCCATTTCTGATGATGAATGACTACAAATTACGTTATCCACATAGGTGGACTCGCGAATAGCTTTCGAAGCTAACGGAAAATTCTGACCTTCGTCATCAGCTGATTGCATCAATGTACGCAACGCTAAAAATGGCGAATATTCAATACCATGAGTCAAGGTTCTGAGTCGATAATCCTTCAGCTTTTCATTTGGAGAAAACCTCGAAATTATGCGCTGAAAATCGCATTGTCCAGGAGTAAGTAATATCATCCGATACATTTGTTTCACGTCTGCACATATAACATACTTGAAACATCGAAATTTCAATGAAATTTTACAAATATCTTGTTGTAGTTTGGCGCCTGTCAAAAGATCATCATTTAGTGAACGAAAACTACCAGATTTCGCAGATGCATTGAACACTACTCCTAATTTTGTCGATGAACTTACTCTCCGGTTTCAATACTGGATGATGAGGAATATAGTACGTTGATGGTGAATCAACATCAGAGACTACCTCCATATGATTCATTGCTAGAAACTCTTGCATAAATAGTTCATATTGCAAGTAAACCTTAGGTTGCATCGATAACCTTCTTTCTCAACTATAAAACCGATTTTTTGGCCAAAGACCTACTTCCCGGAAACACTGGCAACGTTGCAACATGAAAGGAAAGAGATACTGCGTTCCTACCAGTATCATCTCTAGGAACTGTATTTGTGAATAGCTTTTCGCATAATATCTTCATTAGAAAAAAATTCTCTAATTTCGAATTATCTGATAAAGAACAAAAAAATGAAGATACGGTGGGAGTCTGGGAGCAAGCCATTTTTCCCATCATGATGTACCCAAAAACGTTATTAATAGCATCTGGTGCTCCAATGCGGCCATCTAGTGAAATCTGCGAAAACAAGTCCGCACCTAAGAGCATATCAATTTCACCAGAGGCGTAGAAGAAATCATCTGCTAATTTCAAATTATATAAATGTATGGCCACCTGTCTAACGAAATGGGGGAAGCAGGTAGATTATCACAAATGATAGTCACGATAACCGAATCAACATTGGATTCTGGACTGACTTTTGCAACCGGACGGATTGTCAAAGTGACACATCCGTGATTTGACATAGTTTGCATCGAATCCACTCCTTCAACTTCGATTACTGATTCAGTTTTGATTAGACCCAAACGATTGAAGGATTTCTGATCGATCAAGGTACACATACTTCCGGAATCTGGTAAACTCCGAAGTTTTTGATATCCTCCATTACAATGAAGGACTTCTATAACAGCCAGTGATAATAAAACACTCGAATTACGTGGAAGAACTCTCGTTGTGACCTGGACAGACCGAACAGGTTGTGCTGTCGAGGTACTGGGAGATTCTCCAGCAGTAGTGCAGTTTCCGTTATCAGATTTATTTCGCACTTCCGCTCAAATAGTGTCACAACTCAGAAAAATCAAAAAAACCTTTTATTGTACCATTCGTTTCTGAAAACTTCAAAATCTCATCACAAATAGTGTCATATATAAAGATTGATCATTTTGTCCCTAGATGGCACTCATCACATTATAATGTTGAATGAAACTAATGGCATACCCAACATAAACAGTGTCACTTCACAGCTTGCGCGAGGTGGTCGTCTATCAAAATATTGTATGAAGTGTTGTTTGTCGATTTATGCTAGTACATGTGAAGAGTTAATTGAAAACAATATTTGTATTTATTCAATAAAAGTGAATTCTGTCAACATACGACAGTTTATGTGATTGAGGTGAGTCAAAAATATTTCATTCTACCCAATAAAACTGATCTATGTCGAGTTATGACAGTATATGTGATTAAAGCAAATCAAAATTCTTAGTTTTTTCGCAATGAAACTGTTCTATATCGAATTTTGACTATACACGTGATTGAGGATATTTAGCAATCAAACTTTTTATCACGATTATAGTACACTGTTTCGACATATGACAGTATTTGTGATTAAGAAAAGTCAAAAATCATTTTTTTTTTCGCAACAGCTGTGTTCTGTGTCTAGTTATGCTAGTGTACTTGATTGAGTTTTATGAGAGAACAATTTGGTTCCTCAATTAATACAGATCTCTATCGAAACGATTCACATTTTTAGGTGATGATCTGTCTGATTTTAATATTGTTTACTCAACAAGATACTTTATACCTAGTTAGACATTCTTCTTGCATGCAAGATTTCTTATAGCGAGTGATTGTAGCAATATATCGCGTGAAACCTTTATTCTTGACAATTCATTGTTGGAAATTTCAGTTGTAGCCCATGCAGCCAATATTTTGAAAAAAGTGTTCGTTAGTTTTAATGATAAATACCTTTTTTCTACATTCATGCAAAAAACAGAACTTCATTGAACTATATTCAGTGGAAAAAGAAGTTCTTCATTGCACTTAAAGTTTTTATTGCACTTATCTGTCATTCTACTTCAACGTGCTGTCATCATGACAAACATTTTCTATAATGCAACTGTGGTTATAGAAACGTCAGTCAAAAATCAATTCTGACAATTAACAGAATTGTACCTACTGCCACACCTCAATAAATCATTTTTTGCTTTTTGCATGAACGTAGAAAAAATGTTGTATACAACTCGTGCAAAAATTGTTTATTGCACTCGACGTGTTGTCCAACTCGGACTAGCGGCCTCGTCGGACAATTTCACGTCGAATGCAATAAACATTCACTTTTTGCACTTGTTGCATAAATAACTATTAATCACTTGCCTCATGGAGAACCCATTATTGATAGTGTTTTTATTGTCCCTAGGTGGTTGTAACTACAAATACATACAATGTCCAGATCAAGCAAAATATTATCCCTGTGCGTGGCCCCCAACGGGCAGCAGAATCAAGTAACAGATGACTCAACTTTCATATCAGAGGGTTCTAAAAAAATGATTTAGGACTAATGAATGATAGCTCAGATAATCTGCCTGTAACAGGGAAAAGCGCTGAACGTATGCGAGATTCCTTAGAAGGGGGTGAGGAGACAGATGATTCTATTAAAGATCCAAATTACGATGAGCCCCGTTAAAAGAGTAAGAAAAATATCATCTTTCCTCCTCGCCGATCATCATCAAGTAGTACTTCGAGTTCTTCATCATCCAGCTCAAGTTCATCCTCGTACAGTTCAAATTCATCATCATCGAGCTCCTCATCTTTGCCACCTATTGTTAAGTAAAATGAAGAGATTGGCGGAGGCCGTCCATCAACCTCACAAGACTCTGATTCAGACAGGAATCACTCCCAAGAACAAAACGGGACGACGAAAAAAATACCTAATTCACGTAAGAAACGACGTGCTGAAGGACAATGGAAGTAAAATGTGACTAAAATTCTAAGAAACTCAGGATTGCCTTATCAAACAAAATCAGGGCAAGCTATTCCTAAAAGAGTTTTCAAAGAAGGTTGTGGCGAACGTTGTAGACTGAAATGCAGCTCTTTTCTTACCAATGAAATAAGGCTCCAATTGTTTGATATTTACTGGGCTCTGCAAGATTAAGAAAAAGAGAGACAATTTATACATGGACATTTAAGACCAATAAAGGTTAAATACTGGTATGTCAAAGCACAAAAACCTCGAAAAAATAATTATGCTTATACTTCGAGGTTGAAGGTTCATTGAAGAGGATCTGCAAAACCATGTTAAAAAATACGCTGGATATCAATGACAGAACGATCAGAACTGTAACAGAGAAATCAACTGGGGGTTTTCTGAGAGGGGAAAACATAATAAACATAATAACATTAATGAAATCAGGGATCATATAAAAGTCATACCAAAGATTGAAAGTCATTATTTGAGGGCACAAACGACTCGAGAATACATTGATGGACGAAAGACTAATTCTGATTCACATCGGGATTATGTGGAACAGTGTAAACGAGATGGTTAAAATTATGGGAATTATGTGATGTATAGTCGCATTTTTAATAGTAAATTTAATTTAGGTTTCTTCGTGCCAAAGAAAGACAGATGTGAACTGTGTGTAGCTTATGAAAATGCGGATATTGCAGATAAAGCTAAACTTGAGGAAAAATATGATGAACATCTAATTGAGAAGATTTTATCTAGGAAAGAAAAAAAGGAAGGCAAGGAAGCTCTTAAGACAAACAAAAACCTGATTGTGGCTGTATACGATTTACAGGCGGTTTTGCAGTTACCCCGTGGCGATGTCTCTGTTTTTTACTATAGGAGTAAACTGAATAACATGAATTTCACAGTAAGCAAATTGAAAACAGAAGAAAGAGGACAAAAAAGGGATCACCTAACAGCAAGTAATAGCAATAATGATGAACCTATTGTAAATCTTAGTACAACCAAGTGTTATTTTTGGCACGAGGGCGTGGGCAATAGAGGTGCCGATGAAATCGGTAGCTGCTCGTTTGAATTCATTGAAAAAGAATTACAAAGTCATACAAGCAACGAGCCCATTGATTCAATTTTCTACTCGGACAACTGTTGTGGGCAGAATAAAAATAAGTACATTGTCGAAATGTTCATGTATGCAGTAATAAAACACGACAAACTGAATTAGATTAGTCACAAATTCTTAATATCAGGACACACTCAGAATGAAGGCGACTCAGTACATTCGGTCATTGAAAAACAAATGAAGCGTTCTTTGAAGTACGGTCCGATTTACGTTCCGAGTCAATATGTACAGATAATTAAAATGGCGATAAAAACTGGAGAGCCTGTGAATCATTTTGGAGTTAATTCTTATAAATAAGATTTCGAAGATCTGAGGTTTAACACTTAAAACTACTTATCTATTCAATGTTTTCTACTGTAGACTACTGTTAGCATAAGTTTTTGTTCATCAATTATCTCTGCTGATTTTATTTCGTTAGAAATGTTGAGTTATGTTTGAGTTAGATGAATAAAAATATCATTTATATTAGTAATCAAACAATATCTCTCTAATTATTCGTTTTCTCTATCATTGAAGTGTCACAACTCGAAATTTTTTCATATTTTTTTTTTGTAAATTTTTTAAAATTTGTATATCGCTACTTCAAAGTTAGGAACCAACTCCCCAGAAGTCGGAACTTGTGCGGGGTTAGGAAGAGCGAGACCTACAGCTTATAGTGGAATATTTTTCCATATTTCCAAAATACCTACTCAATACACCATTTTGAAGATCTTCAAAAACCATTTTAACTTACTCAACAACTTATTGCTTGCCCGAAAAGTAAAAAAAAAGTCAAATGCCTTTTTTTCGACAGTTTGCTTTTTCGACTTATGACACTCTTTGAGCGGACGTGCGATTTGTATTCTGAGAAGTTGATCTGTCTATATTCTCAGATCCAGGGGTTAACTTTTCTCCAAAGTGTGGAAGGGAATTATGCGTTTTTTGTACACAATACGTACAGCTTGAAGAGGACTTACAAGATTTTACATTGTGCATATATTATGACTTGAACAACTTAAGCATAAATGTAAAACATTTGATAATTGATATTCTTCATGAGGCGTTTTCCTCAAGAAAATAGGACAGGAATACACAAAGTGATTTTCCTGACAAACTCTCCATATTTGATTAACGTTCTGATTTTTATCAACAAAAAACGAAGTGATTTTGCGAGTATTCGGATAACTAGTTTTACGACTATTATCAAGTTTATTTTCATGATGCGAAGTAGGTGAAAAGGATAGAGTGTCTAACGCAATGCAATGCTTTTCCAAGAAATCTATCAGATTTTCATAGCTAGGAACCTCTGTGGATTTATGCTCATGCTCAAATCGACTAACAGTAGATGCATCTAGTCTTTTGAGCATCATCATTACCGAAATGAAATTCCACTCCGCAACTGGAAATCCCAATTTCTTTAAAGCCGACAAATTTTTGGAAAAAGTATCCAACAATTTGCGAAGGGTCGAAGAATTATTATCACTCGGAATTTTGGAACAATTTTCAATTTGAGTCCAATGCGCTTGGGCTCTTAATCGCTTATTAGAATATCGTTTGACAATAGTATCATGTGCGATTGGATAATTGGTGGCCGTCATAGGCAGAGTACGAACTGAAGCTGAAGGACCACCCTGTAACGACGAAATCATATAATTGTACTTTTCAACAGGAGACAGTGCGTCATTATTGTGTACCAACCAATCATATAAATCTGAATAAGTATCGAAAATATTTGAATTGTCATCGAATTCAATTTACTCGATTTTTGTCAACCGCAAATTCGAAGCCGGTGCTGCGAAACTATGATTTGAGTTGGAACCTATACGCGAAACATTGGACAGATTCTCAAATGAATCGCCGAAGATAGTTTCAATATCATAATAGTGACTGAGAAACGATTCCCGAATGGTTTCCTCAGGAGTTGTATCAGCCTCTGCATCTTGTATCAATATATTGAGAATAATCATATGCTGCTTTTTAAATTCTTTCCTAAGATTCTCAATTTCACTGAAACGAACTCTGAATAATCTATGCACTGATTTATCAGTTTCGGCTTTCGTAGCAAGGGTATTCAAGATTTGAATTTCGGTAATACAAGAATTTCGCAGCGCTTTGGCTCTTCGAAATTTATCAGCCATATTTCAGAGAAGATATGCAAACGAATATCCGCACAGAAGAGAATCACCGATAATAATATCAAAACAACATCTGCTGAAACGACGAAACGATTCCTGCGAATGTTCAAATTTTGTGACGGTTCGCGCTCACTGCAACTGTCTGAGTAGGGATTCAAGATACGCCTTCCCTGCAGGATCTGTACAACACCGTATTTACCTAGGTCACAGGTGAACTACAAAATTGAAACATGGTTATTGTTTCAATTAATATTCGTACGAAATTACTTCAAACGCACAAAACCAGACAGATACAGAAAAAGAAACACCTTCAACAAAAAGACAAGATACTTGTTCACAAACAGATAACTGTGAGGAGACAGAAAAGCTAAGAGACATACGCGCAAATCTCACGTGGGATGCTCCTTGGAGCATGGCAGAAGAGGTGATCCTCTCTAACTGGCCTCAAGACCTTTATCAAAAAACGGAAACCGAGATAGGAAACCCACTATTTACACCCGCAGATCGAGATATAGCAATTCTCATAGACCCAAAAGAAGAAAATAGCTTCATAACCAAACTAAGGGGAAGGAAAGTGATCAAAGATATGGTCGAAGCAAGGAAACCAGCTGCAGGTAGGATTGCGTACCTCATCAACACAAACGAATCCATGATGGATGAGGACGACAGCGAGGCGAAGATATCAAAGAAATATACATTCCTAGTGGGGATGGACAAATGAGAAAGTAACAAAGAGAAAAACATATACCAGTCTCTGAAAAAACTCCGGGAACTACTGGAGAAGGAGGATAGAAAACACATCGCAGTCGCAATTGCACAGAACGAACCATACGAATACCTGAGGAACATGATGGAATGTGTCCTAACGGACAGTGATATGAGGGCAACGATATTTACAACGAGGCGACAACGCGAAACGATATCACAATATGCTGGAACAGAATAAAATGGAGGAGAAAAGCCGAACAGGACATGGGAGGACGTCAGGAGAAATAAGGATGGAGAAGTCTTCATTCTAAAGCCAACAGAGGGAATATCCTATGCCCAACTCATCAAAAAAATGAAACAAGAGGTTAACACAGAAGGTATAGTAATCTATAAGATCACTAAAATACACGACGGCAATGTCCAGGTGAAAATAAAAAGGAAGGAAGAAAAAAACAGAGCGCTCTTTCGTGAATCGATGTCAGAAGGACTCAGGAAAGTGGCCAAAGTACAAACGAAACAGAGAACCCAAACTTTTATGATCCTGGACATAGACGAGACAGTGCTAGAAGAAGAGGTCAGAGAAGTCCTGAGGAAGGAAACAAATACTGAAAATATAGAAGGTATACACATCAAAATCTAGGAGGAAACCAACGACAGAGGACTGAAATATGCCTTCATCACGACTAGGGATGATGTAACCAAGATACTCGAAAACGAGTCTAGGATAGGAAACGGCTGGAATAGATGGCGAATCAATGAAGTAAAAGAGGCCAAAAGAGGCTACAAGTGTCGAAAATTGGGCATGTATCAAAAGACTGTGGTGAAAAAGATGGAGAGACAAGGTGCCATGACTGCGGTGAGCCTGGACATCTAAAAAAAGGATTGCCAAGTAGGGCAGAGATGCTACCTATGCAAGGTAGATGGACATAGAGCAGAGTTGATGAAGTGTCCAAAAAATAGAGAGTGGCAAGTGGTGCGAAAGAAGGAGAAAAAGAGGGGGAGGACAAACCCATAATTATGGGCACTCTCACAATCCTACAGGGAAATCTAGATAGGGGCAGGGAAGCTACAAACCTAATGTACAAATACGCGGAGGTGACAGGGGCGGACGTAGTCATCATGGCAGAACCAAACAGACTGAAAGTAGTAAATACAGAGTGGATACTAGAAGAAAACATGGATGTAGCAATATATGTGCGTAACAAAAACATTAATGCAACCAGCACAGGAAGTGGACCAGGATTCATCTGGATCGAAACAAAACGGGTCATCATCTATGGATGCTACATATCCCCGAACAAGGACATCGATGCATTCAACGAGTTCCTGAGAAACCTGAGAGAAAACATGAAAACGCATAGTAAAGAAATAATAGTAGGCGGAGATTTTAACGCAAAATCCTACCTATAGAATTCACCAGTGGAAGACCGAAGAGGACAAATTTTTTCTGAATAGCTAGGCGAGGAAGAACTTATTGTACACAAAAACGGTGATGTGCCGACTTTCGTGCGAAGAGACAGCGTATCATTCATAGATCTGACCTTCAGCTCTAACAAGATTGCCAAATTTGTAAAAGACTGGAGGGTCATCGAGGAAGAAAACTTGAGCTACCACCAGCACATAGTGTATAAAATCATGAATGATCAAAGCAGCGCTGCTGTGAGAGGAAAAAATGAAGGATGGGGAGTGGTGAAGAGAGATCTCCAGAAGCTCACAGACGAGATAGGAAAGCTACTCCACACGAAAGAAGAAATCGCTGACGCGGCAGAGCTAGGTGATATCATCAAAGCCGGATGCGATAAGGTCTTCAGAAAGAAGAGGACGAGAGGCAATAAAGTACCAGTATACTGGTGAACAGAAAATGTCTCGGAAAAACGGAGGATATGCGTAAAGAGTAGAAGAAATATGATTAGAGCCAATGGAAGGTCAGACGATAGACAGAAAAGGATCAAACACGAAGAATACAAGCAAAGTAGAATAGACCTGGAGAAGGCAATACTAGAGGCCAAGCGGTAATCATGGAAGACGCTAGTTGACGAAGTGGACTCAGATATATGGGGAAAGGGATACCAAATCATAACAGATAAGTTCAAAGGCAAGCCGCCAATGAATCTGTCGGAAGAATAGCAAAGGGAAATTGCTAAAACACTGTTTCCATCCCATGAAATCAAGACATGGAATCGGCTACCAACAAGACAGCAAGAAATACCGCCTTTCACCATGGAAGAGCTAATGGACGCCAACGACAGGCTGAAGGAAAAAAAAGCCCCGGGACCCGATAACTTCCCAGCCGAGGTCATCAAACTACTACTACTAGTACTAATAGGACATATTATATTTACTTCAGTAGTTTGATTGCTATTGAATTACATTTCCAGTCTTCGATATATCCTTTTGAATGTTCATCAGGTATAATTCAATGTGCGACGTGGCAAATAGCCAGGAAAGTAGTTGTTTTCTGTTGAATATCCAGAATGATGTGTGCATATACAGATTTTTGTCTGGAGGAGAATGCAAATTCTCAATTTCAGAAGTTTTTTATATTTTATTTTCAAACTCTTATCGTGTGTGTTCAATAGATATAATTCAATGTTCGTCGTGGCATATAACCAGGAAAGTAGTTGTTTTTTATTGAATAAACTGAAAACGTGTAGATATTCTCATCACATAGAGAATGCGAATTCTCAATGAATTGCTTCATATTGTAATGATATTCCCCTTGGAGGGGCTTTAGAAACATCAGCAGGAAGGCAGGAGTACAACGATCATCCTGTATCACGCATACCAGATTGCTCTCCTACCTCCCAATGCACTGCTTATTTCTGAACACTCAATATATGCCGCGGTGACAGATAACGTCACAGAAGATTCTGGAATGTTCTGGAAACAATCGATGGAACAATTAGAGAGAGAGGTTTGTTCTAAGAAGCTTCTAGAACAAAAAGAAGGAGACGGAAGATCATTCGAGAAGGTTCTCGAGCCAAAGCCTGCCTAGTAATTTCATATATAAACGGCCGAATAACTGCCGTCAGTCAGTCAAACAGCGAGTGTCAGAGAGACAGTTATATACCGCGTGTTATAAATCGTTTTACATAAATAGTAGTTATAAGTTCGATATAAATTAGATATAATTAGTGTTTCTTTAGTTTAAATAAATAAGTTCGAAAATAAATAGTGTCGTGTTCGCTTCTGCACCCGAATAACGTAACAATATTAATATATATCCATTTTTGTATGTCCATAATTTATCTGAGAATATTCCTTTTCAACACTTTCATACCCAATCAGGGGGTTCAAACTTGAACGATGGAATTTTGTGATTTTTATAAACCTCTAAGCGCAGATTCGTGATAGAGTCTCAATTCAGAATTTCTTTCCACGCCCTGTATGATGAATGTCAAATTATCATACACCCAAAAGCATTTAGTGCTACACTTCATGCACCATGCAACTACAGGGTTTCACACTGTCAAACCATGCACCAATATCTAGAGTTCAGCTATGTAGCAATTGAGGCAAGAAGCTAAGCAAATTAGCAAGAAGTCATTACACATTCACTGCGACAACATGCGTTTTGGAAGCACCAAAATTAGACGAATTGTACACTCCAAGCGATAGTGACCAACTGATTGACCGGCAGGGCTTAGAGGTCAACTGACGATACATTGGAGTTTCTGTTATCTGCGTTTTCGCGATAACAATGCTAACCCAACGATAATATCGAAATATCCAGAACCAGTCCTATATTTTTACAATAATATTATTTATTTGCAAATCTGCGCGAAATCAACACCTTTTTCACTGCATGACACAAAAAAACTAATTTTGTCATAATTTTTGTCATCAAAATTGACAGGTGTCATACAGCCTTCAGATAGATGAATTAGTTATATTTAATTTCTTGCATTCTTTCAACTTGGGTATTTGGAAACTAATTTTATTTTCATTCAGAAATACAGAGCGTTTTGTTTTAGCTATCCACTATTATTTCAAGTGATATATATGATAGTAAAATGAAATTAATTTTTTTATTGAAATTTCTTAAACTATATTTGGCTGCCGAAACACATGGTCATGCTCGAATATAGTGAGAAATTTGCGTGAAGCATTCATTAAGGTTCAAAATTGACAATTGTCAATTGACAATGAGTCAGTCATTTGTCAATTGTTACTGTTTATGGGACATAGGTAGGTAGTATACCTCGAGATTTATGATACATTTTGGCACAGTTTTACAGATTCTCCTAAAGATGAGATATTGTATAATATTGAAATCAGTTATTATTGATTGTTATAGATTTTGAAATAGGAAACCATATTATTGAATGTACTCAGAAAGTTTAAATGTCATTGAGAGCTCTGGGGTTCTTATCTAACAAAATAAGGTGAGAATAAATCCTACTTGAATGATTCAGATCTGTTGTTCTGTTCAAGTTATCAATAGATTGTGATATGAATGTCATCTCCAAGGATATTCGTTTTGCATTATTTTTTTTTATTGCTTAAAAATGTTGGTGGAATTATAGTCCATGTTATGACCTTCTTTGGACATATGTTCACTGAGAGCACATCTTGCAGGGTGCAGTCTGCTGTCACTTTTGTGGGAAGTTATGCGGTCTTTGAGTAACCCAGAAGTCTGGCCTATTTATTCATGGTTGCAGTTTAAACAAGGAATACAATATATGTTACATTTGATTGATGTGGTATTGAAACTTTGCCTTTAGTCACAGAAAATAGAGAGTTCATAGTTAAGACTCTTTTTTGTGGAAATTCTAGATGATTTTGGAGCGATTTGTGCAATAAATGGTAAGGAGGTGGAAAGAAGGTTATTCTATTTGTCATTATCCATATTATTGATATTTTCAGGAACTATATGATTAGACAACTGGTTAGTAGATGGAGTGCTATATAAAATCTTGGTAAGTAATGATGACGGGTATGCATTTTGTGAACACAGATAATGGAGAATTTTCAGATTATTTTGGTGAAAAGATGGATCAGAGATACGTAACACTCGTTGCTTCATTTTTTCGATCAAGTTGATTTTTATTGATTATCTATGGTGGGACCAGTATTTCATATATCTGCCTGAACTCATAGGTTTCCTATACCAGTCTAAAGATATTGTGTTGTTTGGTATACGAATCAATATAGTATCCAAAACAGAAACACTACAATCTTCGTCTTCTTTCTCGATATTAAATTGTATGTATGGATCAAAGATATTGAATAAATCTGACGTTTCAGTTATCTCCCATTGGGGAAGGGCTAAGATGATGTCATCTACATATTTTCTCATTAAAAAAACATTGAAGGGAAGAACATTCAAGACATTATACAGCACTTCGTCCATAACATAGTTTGCCAAAATGGGACTTATTTTTGCTCCCATGGGTGTGCAAAAATTTTGCTCATCAATGTGATTATTGAATGAGAAATATGTACTGTTGAAGAGGAGAGTTAATAATTTGATGAATTCATCTTCACAAATGTTACAGAAATTACTTATTTGGTTCCAATTCTCATGAATTGAATCTGATACAAGCATCCAAGTAAACATTGCTAAAGAGTGAAACAACGTCCAGAATTGCTAGTACATAGTTGTCAGGGAAATGCATTATATTGGATTTTGAAGAGAGGTCAGAAGAATCTTCGATATTATATGGATTTTCAAAGTCGAATGCCTTTGTCAGTATACCTGTTGTCAAAAAAGGAGCCAGAGGTTCAAGAGGATCATTATTTGATGCAATAATGGGTCGAACTGAAAGTGTAGGTTTGTGGATTTATGGAAGTGCATGGAATTTTGGAATTATTCCTGTGTAAGAGATATTTTTTTTGTGTTTTCGTCTATTTGTGCGGAATAATAGAGATTTTTTATTGATGTATTACATTTATATTGAATTTGAAGAGTTGGTCTTTTTGGACCTGTTCATATGAATTGGCATTTTCAAGTAAGTCTGAGGACAAGTGAGATTTCCTTTGTCAGATCTAGTGACAATCAGGCTCGGATTTAGTTTGAGAAAGCGTTTTGTTTTCGAGAATGAGTTATGATAAATTGATAAAGAATGTTTAGAAGAGTGAACATGGTTGGTAATAACATTGGCTGAGCGTGCAATGGTAGAATTCTCAATTACAGGATCTGTTATATTAGGAGTTAAATATTCAACATCTGCTAAGAGATTTTTAATTGGATAATTTTTTCTATTTTGGGTTCTGTACTGAACTTTGGTCTCAAAGACAGAAACTTCAGTATATCATCCGAAACAGGAATATCTGACATGTTCTTTATCCAACCAGGTTGTGTATTTAATTTATTATTGATCGCATTTTCTTGAAGATGTTTGATCATTTTGGAATTACAATTTTCTGTTCTGTGGAAAATTTCATGAAATGATTTTGTTTGGTGACCAGAGAACTCTGCAAAAACATGTTTATTTGTAAAATTGATGATCTCTTTTCAACTGTTTTTCTGATTTAGGAATCAATCTATGATTCAAATCATTTTCATAGTTTGAAAGTTTTGTTCCCAACCTTAAACATAGTTTCCTTGATTCATTGCTGAATCTGTATTCCTGTCTTAGTAAGAGGTTGTCTACGAGGTTAGTCGAATGTTTGATATGATCTGGTACAATTCCTCATGTCATGCATCTGAGGAGGAAACTTCTTGGGTTATATTCTTTGGCTGTTTCAATATTGATCCTTGACCATTGTTTCATTTTTGTGACTATTTGAATTCCATAAGTAGTTTGGGAGTCTTGATAAGAGCCTATTATCCTGTATAGAGAAGCAGAAGGGTAGTCCTGTGCTGACTAGTTGGTTACAAACTCCTAAAATATTTGGGACTGCAGAAAAACGGAGGTGTACTCTTATTTCATTTTATTTCGACAGTGAATATTATCATCATCAGGGAGCTACAAATTTTGAAGAACTTATTTTGAAATTGTTCAGTGAAATTATCAGTTGAATACTCACAATGTCAGTGAGAATGATCGTTGAAAGATGGTAGCTTTGGTTGATTCAGGAGACACATTAGTAATTTGTAATACATTGGAACAGTAGAACAAATTGATCAATTCAAAATTTTGAAATTGCAAACAGTAAAATGAAATTTATTTTGCTTTTGCCTAGTCAGATAGTAAGACGTACTGGTCCAGCTTGGATTGAGGGAGGAGCGTACCATCCAGCGCAGCATTCGGTCGCCCTGGAATGAACCAAGTGCCCAGGTCTCCAGGTGGTTGCGACTCCTGTCAACTGTGTGGAGATCCAGTTCTCCAAGCACATTCAACCCCTAACGCCGACTGAGGAAGAAGTGTCTTCGTATTATCTAGGCAGTGAGATCTGGCGAACTACAGGATGGTACAAAATCCGGAACTTGCAGTTGAGGTCAGAATTTCTCATAAATAATTTTTTTCCTGTCTGAGGACATTTAACTTACCATTTTTTCTTCTGTCTGAGGACATATGGCATACCATATCTTGTCGCTGTCTGAGGATATTTCAATAGTGATTTTTCTCTGTCTCATGTCAAGAGATAATCAAGTACTTGTCCAGTCTTATATCGGAATTTACATTTGATAGAATCATTGAGGCTGTTAAAGACTCTGTGAACCCAAATTATAGGCCTATATAAAGGCAAATCTACCCATGTACTGAGTTATAATCATAGTATAACATCATTCACCTCCATTCTAATAGTTATTTATGCAACAAGTGCAAAAAGTGAATGTGTCCAACTCGGCCTAACGGCCTCGTCGGAAAATTTCACGTCGAATGCAATAAACAATTTTTGCACGAGTTGCATACAACATTTTTTCTACGTTCATGCAAAAAGCAAAAAATGATTCATTGAGGTGCGGCACTAGGTACAATTCTGTTAATTGTCAGAATTAATTTTTGACTGACGTTTCTATAACCACAGTTGCATTATAGAAAATGTTTGTCATGATGACAGCACGTTGAAGTAGAATGACAGATGAGTGCAATAAAAACTTTATTGCACTAAGTGCAATGAAGAACTTCTTTTTCCACTAAATATAGTTCAATAAAGTTCTGTTTTTTGCATGAATGTAGAAAAATACCTATTGTTGGCATGTTGAGGTGAATAAATCTGTTAACAGTTACTTCGGCTTATATTTATATCTCTGATTATTTTCTCAATAATTTGCTGCGAAAACTGAGTGGCGCTCGACGAATGGATAACCCCACTAGTGAACAAAAAGAACTAACTCACGACCTTCTTCGAAACAAACGAGCTGCCATGCCGATAACTAATAAAAATTATTTTCCTTTTCCAGAACATCAGAAGAATTGTTGAAGAATTTAGTCAACAGGTGATTCTTGTCCATGGAATCAAAGATTCTAGAATCATTATATTGTTATGCAATGTTCAATGTGAATCACATGCAGCTGTATGCGGTACCCATTGAATTCTCATTGAGTTTTCAACTAGGGATCGCATTTGAATATTTGCACACTTATTTTTCTTCGCATCAAATTTCGAGTGGCGCATCCTTTCAAGAAACAAAAAAACCGTTTATTCAACAACACTAGACCAACCCACATCCCAGCTCTCCAGACACTTTGGCTGCCCTTCCCCGACAACATCATTCTGCTAATTTTGGTTTTCAATTTGGGTAAGTCGTTAAAACATTGCAAGAGGTGGTGACAAATACAAAACTCTCATTTTTTCAGAGGTATTCGTTTTCTCGTTGAGGACCTAGGTCAGGATTGAGGTTGATGGTTCGAACAGCTGGATGTCAACGATTTAACAAGTGGCAGAAAACTTCTTATCTTCCAAGTCAAGGCGGACAAACATAGCCAGTAATCCGAAAGTTTCATGCAGTTCCGTATAGGTAATGCAGTTTCCTATAGGTGAAACTCTTATTACCGACCTCTTGGTCTTGCAGGAGCAGTCAAGCTCCACTTCACTGATCTAGGAGGTCAATTCGTGAACAGAAGTTGGAGTTCAATAGGTGTGCTCGTAGATGCTACACGGTGTAAAGTCACGCTCTTCAAGGTTAATACTTTGTTTTGTTTTGATAATGGATTAACAAAGATACCCTACTCCACAAATGTGATGCTTTAATTTCCAACCGTTTTGGATATATGACTGTCTTGATGGAATCTTACGATAGTGATAATTTCCAGGAGAATCGATATCTCGGAAGCTGTGACAAAAATCAGGTTGTCTGAACTCAGAATCAGAAAAGATGGTGTACGTGTCTGTTTGAAATTAAAAAGAAGATACCGATTTTTGCCACACTTTGTATGGCTGGAGGACTCGAAATATGTCAGGTAGATTGGAAATGATCTATCATATCAACTTAACGATTTTCAATCATTGTTCAATCCAACTGCAAGTTGAGAAAACATTTTTGCACACACTATATTATGATCTGAGTGGAATCGAAATCAAAATTTTCATTATCATCGTTACTGATAAAATTTCAACCATCTATTTTTTGTATTAGTATGTTATTATCGTGACCACATCTTCGATATGGAGATGGAAGAATGATTCTTTGATTGATGGATTATTTCATTTACCTGTAGCCCAATGCACGACAGTGTGTTTCTCATTATCCACAGCATTGACATCGGCGTTGTTAGCCAGAAGAAACGTGACGAGCTGCATGTTTCCTGCGATGACCGCTAGATGTAGGGGCGTGAATCCGTCATCGTCTTTACTGTCTATCAAATCGGGAGCAGCCATCGCGATGATATCAGCTCCCTGAGCTGCATAAATGTTATCGCTGGTACAACAGTAGTGAAGTGGTGTTTTACCAGTTCTGTCACGATCATATAGCGCCAGAGACTGAAAAAAAAGTATCTTTTAAATTTGATCAATTTCTTTCCTGACTCTAGTTGAGAATGGGTTCTTGGAAAAACGAACCCTACAGGTTGATATCGTTTAATTCCATCTAGGATTCGCAGGAATTTTTTTCGTTCATTACATATTTTTTGAATTGAGATTGCTGCAAGACAGCACAATCGATTAAGCAAAGTGTCAAAGTTTTCTCAGCACTTCCGTCCTGTTCTCCTAGATATTCGTTTTGATGGCGTGTTTTGACAACACCAGACTATTCAGGTAATATCAAAAAGGAGAATTTCAGAGAAGTTCATCTCCATTTATTCAAAACTGAATTGGATTTTATTCAAGTTCGAAATTTGAGTAGGAAAATTGTATGCAATGAAATCAGAAGAACACTGTCTCATTCACTGTTCGATGAAATTGTCAAATCTGAATGCAAATTTCGAAAATTCGATGTTGGTATGATCAGACAATATTATTTTTCTCCTTTCGGTACTTTTCCTGACTGGTACAAAATTCAAGAGAATTTTATCACGTTGTTCAGTATTCTTGCCCTTGTAGGAATCAACAGAATTGATCGGATAAACACCATATGATGATTTGTCGGTTATAAAGACTGTGAGATCGAACTTTGAATTATATTCGAAATCACCAAGGCGATATTTATATACTATACGTATATGTGTGACTTCTATGAACCGAACCCAGCAAAATCAACATATTTTCTATATTTCATTGAATCAGTTTCATCCAAATTCGGAGATATGGAAACAGTGATCGTTTATTCCAAGTGAAATTCATTGCAATTTAATAATCGGGATCATATTCACACCCTACTAGATTCATTCAATCCATTCCAGTATATAGTACAGAGAATCACTTCAGATGGCATTGATAAGGCGGATGTGAATTTTGTGAATATGGAAGATGACGTAGAGATTCTCGATGGCAATGGAATCATTGACTCGAAAAAATATGTAAATATTTCGAAATCGTCGAATAACACTTACCTAATGGTGGACGAATATAAACTTTTGGGGAGGAGAGTGATGAATATTCATTATCTTATAGATTTTTCAAAACGAATAGCTAATAATGCTCTCCATTCAGGATGTAGTTTGAATAATCCCGTTATTGTTGGAGAGACCAAACGAGGTATGACATCCAACATCAATTTTCAATGTGTCTAACTCAACACTATGTAGTGTGCAGGAAAAAAACAGTTGAATAATAATGTAGTGATGGGTGTTGCTGGTTCTGGAACATGAAAATCTCAGTCAGATTGGTGCATCTTTGGATATTCCGGTTATGTATAGGTGAATCATATACTACATACCAAGAAATTGTGGGCGATTATTGGACATCATCTGCAATTGATGAAATGGGTATAGCTCCTGGAGGAAAAAAGTCTTTAGCAATTGAAAATAGTGACCTAACTCCTGATGCCATTCCGTTTATTACAGTGGTATGTGATGGGGTGTGAGCCAAAAGGTCATATCGCCATAACTATAACTCATTGAGTGTATTTCCAGCAATTGTAGGATAAAGAACGAGAAAAGTTTTATATCTGGCAGTGAAAAATCAATTCTGCCTCATGTGTAAACGGTATCCCACTCATACCTCATCTCTTACTTGCTATAAAAATTGAGGAGGATCTGCATCTTCAATGGAATCTGCTATAATCAATGAAGGATTCATGCAGAGTATCGAAATGCATGGATTGATCTACAAGAGGATGGTTGCTGATGGCGATAGTAGCTGTTTCAAAAAATTCCTCGATAGTGATCCCTATAACGACTTTCATGTGAATGTTGAGAAGATTAAGTGTAGAAATCACTTATAGAGGAACTACATGAATAAAACACTAGAATTAGGCAAAGACACCAACGCAGGTCCTCTGATACTAAGAAAGGAAATTAAGGTATTATTATAAGTCGATATTTCATCAGTATCAATTTCTAAAATGATAAACAAATCTTGATTTCAATAAGCCAAATTGATGATTGATGTTTTTCAAAATGTTACAGGAAAACTTTATGAGATTTCGTTATGTCATCACAGAGGCTATCGAATATAGAAAGAACGAAGATGACACACTCGAGGAAAAAAGTGGAAAGCTGAGGAGAGATATACTGAACAGTCAATTCTATATCTAAGGTCAAGGAAGTTGAAATACTATTGATGTGATAACTGATATGAGACGAACTCGTAAGTCTCTTCATATGATTGTTTAAGTCATTCGAAAAATAGGCTGATTAGTTGAGAATACATATACTCTCTACATTTTGCATAATAATTGTTTTTTTCCAGCATTGTTTGATAAGATGATGGGTCACGTGAGTTACCTTTCAAATCATGCTAGGAGCTTGATATTAGATGTCGACAATAATTAAGTAGAGCGATTCAACGGGATTATTGCAGAACATACTGGAGGGAAAATGGTGAACTTTGTTCGTATCAATCCCAATGCTTCGCGCCAGTGGTAAGCCACAATACCAAAATTCTTTTGAAAATCCTGAAGAAAAGAAGTAACATGGGTAGAGTTGGCTATTATACACAGAATCTTGAGAGTTGTAAGACTAAAAGTCGAATTAATAACAATACTTTGAGGGCCTTGAAGAAATGCAATAAATAGTCCGATGCTCCAGGAAAAGAGTCATCATCAGAGTTCTATACGACGCATTGCGACAAACCAGACCTCGAAGATGAAGTATTAGAACATGCAATGCCTAAGTACCTGATAGGATCGAGTTTGACTGCTACTGAAAAACAAAATATCGAGGAAATAACTAAGAATCAGGCAGACTCGGAAATGTCGCAGAATGAAAGGAGAAAAAGATTGACAGCTTCAAAATTTGATAGAATTTGCAAAAAAAAACAGAATCTTCTCGAGACAATTCGATTAAATCGATACTGTATTTGAAGAGAATATTTGCCAAATCAATAAGACATTGCGTGGTAAATGATAAGAATGCAATAAATCAACTGGAAAACCATTTGGGATTTGAAATTTCCAAATGCGGTTCATTCATCGATACGAACATTGACTTCATCGCTGCAAGTCGTGATGGCATTACCGAAGGAGCCAATAAGGCTTTTGTTGAAGTGAAGTGCCTCTATTCTGCACCCCCGAAGAAGGAATTACTGAAGGCCTGATAAAATGTTGGAGAAAAACTGGGGCGTTTAATGAAAACCACAATTGGTATTTCCAAGTTCAAGAGCAGTTACATGTTACTGGCTTTGATTTCTGTTATTTCATGGTATGGACATATTGAGGTATCAAAATCGAAAGATTACCTCGCAATGATGAATTTTGGTAAAAAAAAATGTAATCGAAATTGGTAGATTTCTATATGAAATACCAGCTGCTCGTTTAACTTCCACAATCGATGGCAAAAATTGAAATATTATACAAGTTACATGTCGAAGACAGAATCTACCGAGTCAGCGAGATAGGACACCGCCGTGAGAATGCCAGTTCAACCGAGTTCAGCTCATTTCCCATTACCATGTACAATTCAGTCTGACATTATATCTCGATCCATCAACTTCAACCTGAATTGTAATTCGTGTTCTGGTAATAAAATGAATCTTTTCAAAAAACGATTTCTTCCGAAATAAATATTTAACTGGCGCAGTCGGTAGGATACGCGAAAGAGTCTGTGAAAAAGATCCTCTTCGCTTCCGAACGTTTATTCGCGTTTTCGCAAAAAGAACCACGTCCCAAGGAGGCAGCATCGCAGCTCACCACCAAGGACCAACCCCCCAAGGATCAACCCCAAGGAAGGAAGAAAGCAGACGACGGAATGCAACTTGCCATCATCATCGTTCTGTTAGTTTTCATGTCAGACTCCTCTGTTTCTATTCTTTAAGGTGACCCTAGCGCAGAGCTAGATTTAATTTTATCACTCTCAAATTTGAATATCACTTCTGTCGATAATTCGAGTATTACTCCACTCGAAAATCCGCATATTATCATAACTCCACCTGGAATCATGTCGAGACCATTGTTCGACGTCAAATATTTGTGCATTTTTTCACCTTTCGATGGAAATCCTAATGAACTGTATAGTTTTATCAAAGTAGCGTCGACACTTCTAAATCAATATTACGATCCAACACCTGCAAATTCCAGTTGCTTACGAAATATTCTCCTGCTAACTGGAATCGTAAACAAACTAACAGGGTGTTACTGGTTTATTTCACTCTAACTGAAAAGCACTGCTGAATCTATTGAAATCGGATGATTTTGTACTAACCTTCGAGCTGAACCTTTGAGCATGATTGTGGAGCCCTGCGCCTGCCTACTTCGGTGGACAAAAGTAACATATCGATCTGACAGAATCTATTTTCTTTCTGAAAGTCGACAAGCTGCTTTTTTCACAGTATAACTCAACCCTTGCCCTTTCCTTGTAAAACCACCAGTGCTGCTTCATAATTCTTGAATGATAAAATCAAGCGCTTGAAGAAGGTTGCATCAGTATTTCACCTTTGTTATTGGTTACATTGTCAAAATTCCTGTGTTTATTCAGTTCTAGTAATGAACATTAACCCAAGGTATGCTTCTTCTTTTTTTGACAATTTACGAACAGGGGACATAGCCAGAAGGTCGCTGAGCAGTGTGGTTGGTTAAGGAATGGTGTGTTCCGAATGATCGTTGCGCCCGCGGGTAATCAAACAGTTTCAATGGTCTGATATGAATTCCGATGTTCCGTGTTCTGTGATGTCATTCAGGCAAATGTGCTGTTTCGGCTCCTGACTTCTGATTTCTGTTGTTCTATGGCTCTATGCTGTCATTTGGGTGATGACTTGATGAGTGATATGGGTCATGCGCATAAGTCCTTCTTCTTGCACGCCAAATCTAGGAGAGAGAGATAACAATATAGTGGGGATTCTTCCTGGAAAATAAGTTTTCTCAGAGTGGAGGGAAAATGGCGTCTCAAGCGTCCATTTTCGGTCGAATTTCCGATTTTTGTAAGCATTTATATGTGTAGCTAGTAAGC